CTAATAACATCAGCTATAAATTAGAAAAAATATCTATTGCTTATTTCATTTTTTATTCAAGTAAAAAATATTTACTGTTATAAATCAATAATTAACAATAGCAAGCATTAAGCGCTATTATTTATACTCTTTTAGGCAAATCGGTGAAAAGTATTTTTATTTCAATAATAGATTACAAGAAAGATTTAAAGGCCCATTGATTTTTGTCTATTTTATGTGAAATGTAGTTCTCCGACATGAAATAACCTTACGTCTCTCAAGTAAAAGTTCCTGATTTTTTCACTTTTACTTATGTTTCATAATTTAAGGTCTCTATGCATATATTACAGATACAAATTATTTTCTATTTTTCTTAATATGTAAATAAACATAAAAAAACAATTCAATTGATTAAGCTTATGACATACATATTGTTATACCATTGAACAATCAATATCAGCTGTGCTTTCTTATTGAGCAGTAATTCATATTTTGTATTTACATGCACATAATTTACTTTGAAGAATATAAATGAGATTTATTTTAGAAATATATGAAACTTCGGAAGCAAATTTTTTTTTAGAACTTCAAATAACTTTTCAAAAATGAATTAAAAACTTTTTGCTTATAAAGTCATAATACCAGTTTTACTTAAATCCTATTTGAAGGAAAACCGTTCAAAATCCGTAAATCTGCTGAAAAAGAAAAAAACTGTGAAAAATATCTATATCTATATGTATTCGAAAATAGTTTACTAAATTATCCAAATAGTTTTTTCATAATGCTGTTTCTGAATACAGCATTGTTTATTTATAATCTTTAATGTAATAAAAAATTACTTAGCGATTTGAAATGAATTAACAGAAGTTACAGCCAATGTAGAATATTTAAAATTGTTTATTATTGTCATATTATCATATTTGAGAATTGTACTAGTGAGCGATCCGCGATGACATATGTAATTTTAAACTAATTACTGCTATACTAATAATAGTAATGGCAATAAGATTTTTATTCTAGTAATAAAGAATATATAATCTAAATTTTTGTATCAACTAGTTTATAATGCTAAAATTGAATGCAGATTAATACTGAAATGTTTCTATAGATTCTGTGCTTTCATCATTCGCGAACAAATTGTATATGTATGATTGTATCGTATGTTAAAATGAATAATTTATGATTAAATTGTCTATTATACAGCTAAGGTTAATAATATTATTAATTGCTCAATCAATTAGCAATTAAGTAGGTCGGAATGCAGTTGTTCAAATTAATGTATAAAGTAAAAAATAAATGAGTAAAAGCAATAAATTAAATAATCTAGATAAGGCAGCATCCGATGTTTCCAAACATATACAACGCATTTTATGAGATTTAATTATCGATTACCTGCGGTAGTAAATTGTACAGTTAAAGATAGCAATAAAGATGCGAGTGAGGTTAGCCGAGATTTGGACAGAGCGTATCTCTCCGTTAAAGTTGAAATATTAGGATATGACTGATGAATTGCCACAGGTTTCACTAGATCGGTAGTTCGGTACTGCAACGAGTAGAACAATACTTAAAGAAAAACCGATCGTCGTTGACAAAGAAAATGCATTGGCGCTTGTGAGCTTTGATACATCAATGCCGGAAAAAAATGAAGGATGAGTGTTTGGTCGAGGGATTGTAAAAATAAAGTGAACTTTATTGCGGTCGTTTGCTGCGCAGACATAGAGATGTGTTTGGAGTGTGACGCATAGTTGAACAAAATAAAAGGTAAGATGCAGCAAAATTTGAGGCAAATTTAAAAGTTTGTATGTTTTAAGGACATAAAATACTTGAACGCTTGACTTTTGTAATTCATTTTATAACTTATGCATATACTTCAGTTTTGAACGAAATACATATCATACGTAGAGTGAAGAGCAACTTCATATAGAATACGAAATATTCACGATGTATATTCAATTGAACTCACTTTTTTGAAAGTTATAAAGTAATTTATTATTAGGATCTATATAACGCATTTGATGTAGTGACGAATTCTTTCAAGTACAAATTTGTTTGAGCATAAGTAAAGATAAAAATTATTCTTGTTATTGATGTTGTTGTTGTTGTTGTTGTTGTTGTTGTTTGATATTTTCATTAACACTATTTTATAAAACTATTATAGTGTGATAATACCATATGGAATATAATTTTGCTTGATTATATTTGATTCTATTAATTTCAGTATGTACTGATTGACTATATTTTCATCATTTTTATAAACGATATTCAACTAAAGAATTTGTTATTAAATACTATGATTTAGAATAATTTTTTAATTGAATAATCTATGGAAAATCAATAATTAATATACATTTAATCATGTAATAATCGGCTCAAGAGCAGTTGTAAACAAATGCAGTAAATTAATAACATTTCCAAATTTCTTGATCCATGAGCTTAGATGCTCCATTAATGATTAATTAACATCAAAGTTTCTAGATGCTATATATACATATATATATATATATATATATATATATATTTTTTTTTTAATTATTATTATGAATATATAAACTTTCTTTAATTCAATACAATTTTATGCTATTCTTATAGTATACTATTAATAATAGAATTATTATGAATAAACTATTAATAACTAAGCTATTTTATCCATTTAGATTTTAAAATCTATAAAATACAGAAAATAATAAAGAATAGATAAAGTTAACAAATAGTTTTTTTAGTGTTTCAAAAGCTTTTCTATATTCGTTATTTTAATTTACTCGTATACTTTGCTGGTAGTCGGCAACAAACAGAAGGTACGGATAAAAGATATTTTGTTTGTTTGTGTGTGTGTGCGCGCGTGTGTGTGTGTGAGTGAGTGAGAGAGAGAGAGAGAGAGAGAGTAAGAGAGCGAGGGAAAAATAATTAAGGAGAATTATTTAGCTAAGCTGCACAACGGCATCTTGAAATTCTTGAGACATAAAAGAGATTAAGCAGAATCAAGGATAACCATCGAAAAATTTCCTGCTTGAAAGTAATTATGTGGAACAAACCTATTTTCACTTTTAATTGATATCAATGAAGATTATACCGCAATGTAGATTTAGGTAGCTTTATATTTAGTTATTTATTGCCTTTCTAAAACGTATGTTGCTATAGGAATTTATCATTCGAATTAAATTATTGTTTCTTTAGATTTAATAACATTACGGATAAAAATGAAATTATTCTTTTAAAAACTTATAGACGTAAAAATAATTAAAGCATGAGTTATGTGTTCGAATATGAGTTATAAATTGGAATTTTAATGAATTTATAGGCTCTAAAATCGTTAAATTAATAAATATTATTCGAAGCCTATTTTTTATGGCAGTAAGGCGAATTTTGAATTGATCTTAATGATAGTGCATAAGTGAAGAGAATCGATAATTAATTATATTATAAAAGAAGTTGTATTCTTAAAGCGTGTATTCTTACTCGCATTACAGTCTTAAATAATACATAAAAGGATTATTAAATAGTCAGTAATAGAAGGACTATAAACTACCAATTACAATCTATGTAGTCTTGAGTAATGTCTTCTATTAAAAAAATCAAATGTATTTCAATGATATCGTATATTCTATTTAGCAGAAGAAGCTTAGAATCGCAATTGGGCTCGATAATGATAGATCCATTCAGCAATGATAAAGCAACTCGTTTATTCGCGATGCTGTTATTGAGAAAGACCGGGGAAGAAAATGTAAGGAAAAATAAAAACACAGGGACGAGGTGCGGATTTGGGAATTCCATCTTGAGCCAGGAAGCATGAACAGGACTGGAGCTAACCAGCCGAATAGAGCTATTGATACCTCTGCACATCCCAAATGCATTACCATGAGATAATGGAGAGAAAATAGCGATCGACGAGGAGGAGCTTTCCAAAGGTCATCCATTATCCTACGAGACATTCAATTCAAAAGAGGGAGAGAAGTGCTTGTTATATTCTATATGGATACAAATTCTCGATTATCTGGTAAAAGGACTCACGCGTATTGTAATCGCTACGAAAAGTATATAGCATAATGATTGCTTTCACAATTGCTTGTTATCTATTTATTTGTATTATTCGTGCGCGTGTATATGTAATACAATAAAAGGTATAAAATTCTATATATACGTTCGCATGGACTTTTATTTTATTTTATAATCAACGATTTACCAATATTTTATTATATTCTGAATATTTGGCCAGTTTAATCATCGAATGGTTAATATTTAATTATACACGATTAATGGAAACGATTTCACAAATGCGTGTCTTCGCGCGTGTGTTTGTATGTGCTTGTGTGTGGATGCCCGTGACTGCATCTGCACATAAAATTGTTTAATTTTACGATATTTTATTTAAACATTGAATACATCGTATATTTTTCAATATATATTTTTTGATTTTTGATTTTTTGCTCTTACTAGCCAGGACTAATAACTGAAAAAAAAGTTTTCATTGACCGATGATAACGCCTATTTATTTC